CCCCAAAACCCCAAAACCCCAAAACCCCAAAACCCCTTTTTCCTTATTTTTCTTGAAATAAAATAAAACATCAAACAACATGGAAGGTCCAGTTAAAACATTCAAGATCCCAGAAAAAGTACGAAAGAAAATTGATTATGAAAGACTACTAAGAATGCCAAAGCATAAACCTCAGAGATCTAAGTATGATAAAAACAGTTTAGTGACAGTTAAAACGGTAAACGTGCAGACCAAAGAGGATAATTTTAACCTATTCGATATGCCTTGGATCTCTAATCTCCGAGTCATGGACAAAGCAGAGGAAGTAAAACTCCAAAAGAAGGTCAGCAAAGAGTCCACCGTCCCCGCTCCTCCAAGTTTCTATGATGATGACCTCCAGAAATGAACTCAAAAAACAAAGTTGGCTTCTAAGGTATTTTTATAATAATTTTCTCGAATCAACATTTCTACTATAGAAAAATGAGGTGCCGAGTAAATACAAATAATGTGGACTTTGAAATGAATGGAAATCCTAATGAATTAGGGCATATTATTAAGCACAATACAGGAGGATCTCCCACAAGGTCTCAGATCAATTTTGGGTTTGGTTTGAGGAAATATAAGAGCTCTACTAATTTCCAAAGCCCTCAACCATGGAAATTCCCTGGTATTAAAGGTGCAAAAGAAGCTATTGCTAATGATACAATTGGTTTTGTTTCCCCTATTAAGGCATCTAGAACTGACAGAGGAGGGAGTACTAAATAAATTTATGAAGAATATATACAGCGATAAATTCCCTCAAAGAAATGCGAATGCAATCAGGCATATGTTTGGACAAACTTCCCAAGTAGGCTCCATCAAATGGGAGTCAGGCCTCAGGTGGAATTCTGACAAACATACCTATAAAAATTAAATAGAAGATAACTCATAGAATAGCTACGCTAAAATATTTTAGTTGTAATTATTATCCTGGCAGATATATGCTCATGCCCTACTAATGATCATATTAACACATTGAAAACTTTTTGAGTTCAACCTACTATTTATTTAATGGGGTTTTGGGGTTTTGGGGTTTTGGGGTTTTGGGGTTTTGGGGTTTTGGGGTTTTGGGG